TGACAAGAAATTACTATGGGGCTAGAAAGTACCAGCAAAGGGGATTTCAAGTTGGCTCTGGTATTTTGTGAGGGGTCAGATCAGGTGTCTCAAACTTCATCGCTGCTCAATCTTTCTCTCCCCTCAAACCTCTGAACCAGACTGCGTGTTCGTCCTTGCAAAATTGCCACTGCCAAAATGTGAGCACTGACAGTCAGAACTGATCCAGAGTGTCCTTTAAACTAAATTTAGCTTCTCATACCAACCTCCATTCACTATTTTCACAGAGTCCATTGCTTTGCTGCAATCAACGGTCCCAACACTGAAAAATATGGAAAACACACTTTTATAAGCAAAAAAGACAAATGCATTTGTAAGTACCTATATACAGAATCCCATCATCAGAACCATCAATAAAGATTTTAAATGGAGACAATCACAAGACAAAGAAACGAGAATCCTGGTCCGATTTATAATAGATAATAGGCTAATCCAGCCATAGAAATAATGAAGGTACGCAGGGTATAAACTTAGCATGAATAAGTCAAAACAAAGAACTATGCTGAAGGCATTATGAATTGAAATTCAGAGAACTATAAAACTTCAAAGACTGGAGATGCAAAACTTCGCAAGGATCTTACCAGGGAAAAAACAGCTTGGGGAGGGAGAAATTTTTTGAGCGGCGGCCCTGCTTTTTTTTTTTTTTTTGAGGGGGGGGGTGGGTGTGGGGATTGGTTTAATAAGTTTTAAATCTTTTCTTGTTTTCTAGAGGATAGAAAATTAAGTAAGGGGGACAATGCTTTAGGAAAAAAAGGTCTCTGGAAAATAAATTTTGATAGCATCTTACATCCCACCGCCCTCCTCTTTTATTAGTATAGAGTTAATAGATTTCTGAAAATGGAATCATACGTGGCCCAAAATGCACACATCCTTAAAGATTCGACTTGTATTTCCCAAATTCCTTTTCTTCGTATGAATCATACCCGACACTTATAAGAACAATCATAAGTTACAGTACAATAATGTTGGGCAGTCAAGAAGTGATATAATCCTTTTTTTAGTCAATCCTAAGAACCAAACCTCTAACCCGTCTACCCTTCCATATGTATGCCAATTCTTACCCACTGTCAGACTGATTGGGCTGGTCAAGAACCATGGCATTCATAAAACTTATCGCAGACATAACTAGCACATAGGATTGAAGAGCGGTTAGATGAATAGGGTTTAATAAAAGAGGAAAATTTTGACAAGAAGGAAAAGGAGGTACGAATAAGAAGACCATGAGATGGTACTCTGCATTAAGGACCAATGAAAATGTCCATTAAAAGTGATAAGTTTGCTTGAGATGCTATCAATCATTTTTGTGTTATTTAACAAATTAGGCTCAAAATAAAGCAGAATTGAGAAACTGGATTTATATCTGACTCCGAATTGATAGCATAAGGGTTTATTAATCAGAGTGATGAGCTGAAAAACAATTCAGGCAAGAAAAGTCAGCAAACAAAGAAGGGATTAGACAGGTGAAAACTCTTTTTAGAAATCAAAACAAAAGGAGAAACACAGATATACAACCATAATGCGCACGTATGCAAATATATTTCATAAATGCACGCAGATAGAACCCCATAAAATGGCATGCACAAGATAGCATTTTGGCGGCAGAACAAAAACTTAACAGATCTCAGGATTAAAGGGTGTCTTCGGTGAGGAAATTGTTTCAAATTTCTCTGCAACATTCTTCATATTCGAATGTTTTTCCTCAGAAGATTCTCTAGCGTCGTCACCTAGCCTGCTACGAAAGTTCTGATCCATAATGTCTGAAGTACTCATCTTATCGTCAAAAGACCCAGATTCAACAGCGGTTGACACCCTGTCCATCCCAATTTTGGTATTTGATGGCCTTCGTCTATGAGTTGGCTTGAGTGGCATTCCAGTGCTGGCTCTTACAGAAACAATAGATTCTCTTCTAGAATTTGTCGAGTCTCTTCCTTCAGGGATGTCCCGAGGTACCACGTTGGGAATTATGAAGGATTTACTATTGGCTTGCCCGGTAATTTTTGCACGTAAGCCAACTGCAGGACTTTGCTTCTGACTTGTCAGATCATTCATGTCCTTCAAATCGGATGGGAGGACAACCTTTGGAGAAGTAAAAGATCCAGATTTTCTTGCAACAGGATTTCGACCTGTGGCTTTACATGAAACCCAAATTATTAGCAAAAGTGGAAAATAAGGGTGAAAAAGACATGCACCAATAAACTAAACATAGATAATTGGTTAATAATGCTCAGGGCAGAGAGGTGTGCATCTAACAAGATCCCATATTGAGCAATTATCCATTCACCAAAGGAAAAATCATCTTGTCTGACTTTCATCTGCCCAAAATCACTTCACAATTTTTTTATCCTGGATAGGCCTAAAGATTAGCTCAGATTGGCCTAAATTCAGTTAAGACTAGAATAATCCTCCAGGTTAGGCTAGCTTGGTGATTTACATTCTGGCCATAGAATACTATTGCCCAGCCAAACAGGCCTACAACTGTCTTGACTGATCCAAAACCAGATCAATCAAGGTTAACCGACCACCTAAATAGTAAATACAAATCAAGTTCACCTCAAGTCATCAGAAATCCAGAGGCAAACATCAGGGAGAAACAACAAAGAATGTAATAAAAGAGAAGGAAGATCCTAAACAAAAGAACTGAAAACTTATTCCAACATTGTTATGAACAGAATAATCCATCGTACAATATCATTCTCTCTCTCCCTCTGTGTGTGTGTGTGTTTTTTTTTTTTTGGGGGGGGGAGGGGGGGGGAATCTGTGGCATATAACAGAAAACAAGACGAAACCATCCAGTTGCTAACCTCTGGTTGTCGACTACATTGACAAGAGGTTCAGGATACAAAACAAATGTTGGTATTTAAAAGAGTTGCCAAATTAGGTAAGTTCCAATATGTTTACAACTTATAAATGATACAAACAAAGATAACAACTTACTGTCCACATATATATTCTTTATCTCTTTAGTCTCATAATCGGGAGATATGCAGCGCAAATTTGAAGTAGACCTTCTGTGGCCCCCTATTTTATCCAAAGGGCTTTCCTGGAGATCATATTTCTGCTCTGAGTGGATACTTTTGTCAGGTACTAAACCACCACCATATGGCTCAATATGCTGACACCGGAAGATAAAATACAGGAAATCAAGAGAGGACAACAAGGAAAAAAAGGAAATGAAACCAAGAATGCAAAAAGAAAAGGCTGATAGAAGTTAACTAGACTATCTACCATGACATCAGCCACCCAAACTCCAACAGAGTTCCTATAATATGAGCAACCCAAAAGTTTTCCATCATGGATACAAGTATCACCCAGTGTTGACCATCCCATATCAACAGCATCATGGCATATCACAGGTTCCCACGAATAAACCTGAAGTCAAGGGGCATGGACATGTAAAGACTATATTCTTTTCAAGCAAGAAGCTTATAGAATTTCCAAACAGAGAAGTAAGACACCTTCAAACTATCATCCAATCCACAAAACAGGGTTCTCCCATCAGGATGAAAGGTAATTGATCGTACTCCTGTTGCCTGAAAGACATACAAGTAACTTTGCTTGGATTGTGGCACATATATTTTGGATACTCACAAAAAGAAAGTTTTCTTCTACTAAAAGGAGAGACAAACCAGTATCCAACTTACGAAGAACAATGTCTGTGTAAGAGTTTCTACTTGTCCATGTTTTTTGTGTTTATTTTTTAGATGAGGGGATTGGGGACAAAAGTGTGAGACACATGACAAACATGATGAAAGAATTGTTTTCGCTTTGCCGCTAAGAAGAGATCCTTTTAGAGGCTTTTGCATCACTTGGAAGGAGAAATATGCAGGAGAATCCACCTTGTATCTAGCAATTTTGCAAAGTAATTTCAGCCAACAGCCTTTTTTCCCTGCTTCCTATTGCTTAGAAAAGCAGATTTGGCATATAAATTAAGGAAACCTTTATAATTATTGTCAATAGCACAACCTATATATTAGCCAGTAGGCAGCATACCAAAATCAGCCACATTTGCATTTCAATGTCAAGAATTGATAATTAAGAGGTGGGAAACACAATAGTTGTATATACCTCAGTTTTGGCAGATCCGATTAGTTCAAAGGTTTCCAAATCCCAAAATTTCACAGTTCTGTCAGCTGAACCTGGAATATTACATTTGATGGTTACTTCAAACTACCACAGAAAGCTAGTGAGGAGGACAAGCCAACCCAAAGGGCAAATTTGGCACGAAATTCAATATATAAAGCACTTTGATAGAATAGGAAAACTTACCAAATAGGGATCCAATCATCAGCTCTATTTCTAAGAAAATAGAATGACATTCGTGCATATATAGAATCAAACTTTACAACCATATTACTCATTATAGATTTCGATAACTTTACTGCCGTCACTCAGTTAAATCAGTCATTATTACCGCGATGCAACAGCATTCTATCTTCTTCCAAACCAAGAAAAAGTAGCAGAAACCACCAAACTCAGGCACAAATCCTAAATATCCACCGCATCCTTCAAGTTAACCTTCACCACTCAGCAAGAAATGTTTTTATTCATTGATTCACTTGTGATTAATGTCTAACTTGCATGACTTAGGCTTCCAAATAGAATATTTGGTTTCCTTGAAATTTAAGTCCAACCATCTGGGAAGATCCTCATTTAGAAATACAGGTCTGGATAAGCCCCTATATGGTGCATCATGTGAGGAATCCCAGAACCTGGATGCATTGGTTTTTGTTTCACTTTCTTTTATAATTAACTAGTTATTGTGATATCATCGCAGAAATATAAATCGCGAGATTGTCAGTCTTAGGGCTTCAGCATTACAAATAGTAATATAGTATTCATACAGAAAGTACGAGGGAAGGAATATCAAATAAGGCACAAAAGACCAAACGGAGGTGAAAGTGCGATGATGAAATGATGTGCAGATGTCACATAACTCACATACGCACCTGTTGCCAGAAGAAACTCAAGGGGATGAAAATCCATAGATCGAATATGTCCTTCATGGAACTTGAAATCATGCAGGAGCTTCCCAGCAGTTAGGTCCCAGACCTGTCAAACATTAAGAGGGGTTCAAGACCAAAGTTTAAAAATCACGCTGAACTGCTAATAGCAAGCCCTGGTATTACCTTTACAACATTATCATATCCACCAGAAACTACCCAGCGACCATCAGGAGTGAATCTTATAGTACTTATTCCTCGAGTATGACCCTTATAGGTGTGAATGCATCCTTTCTTTCTGATGTCCCAGATCTTTAGATTAGTGTCCATGGAACCAGATGCAAAAAACTCACCAAATGGGTGGAATTCAACGGCAGTACAATTGGATCTGTGTCCATTAAGAGTGCGCACCACTGCACTTCAAGAATAATAACTAGATTAGGAGTCAAAGTGCCTATATACCTTACAGTTTGTATTGTAATAACAAAGCAAAGGCCCAATGTTTCAATAACACAAGGTAACAGTATGTAGTGGAAACCCAATTCCATGCTATACAAATAAGAATTTGGATTCGGTACTATAATACCAGATTAAAGATATAAAGACTAAAGAGTTCCAACTTATTCTGCATCTCTTTTGTGACTTAGCAGACACAGAACCACATAACAGAGCATCGAATCTAGGAATCTAATTTTTTGTCTAAGCCATGAAGAACAAATCAACTTACTCTTTGTTTCTTCCAAATCCCACAGCTTCATCACACCAGCAGAAGCTCCAGCCAATGCCAAAGCCTCTGCCGAATCAAAAGCAACAGATTCAACTGGACTAGCATGACCACACAAGCTCTGCATAATTACACACGTCAGTCATACAAAGCAATATTGATTCCAAAGGTGTGCCACCATGGCCTTGTAGCTTTTCCACAACAGATGTGTATAAAATATATGAGTGCATTCATGATGCAATGGAGTGGAACAAACTACAAAAACTGAAATCTCATAATAAAAAACAGCTATAAACAGATAAAACAAGCAAGGATTATTTGCTTCCTTATAGTAAATACATGCATTTCAGGTACCCAATAAATTTTATCCAAATATCGCAAATACTGCAAGTAATTCTAAAATCATAACCACCACAAAAAAAAATTACAGAAGCAACATCCCTCAGATTTTCTCAGCATATTACATTAATTTCCTTGATGGCATATTCATTTTAATTTTTTGTTCCAAATTATTCCCAGCATTTTTTTATTTAATTCCCAGACCATAAATTATTTGTCACTGAATTTCCCTATATATCAATGTGAATACAATACAATACACATCAAATGTTAAATTGCCAAACCAATAACAACCAAACTAAATAAATAATAGTCTAAATTGAATCAAAATTACTAAGTTTGGAACTTTGAAGTTTGAACTGACCATTAAAGATGTCGGTTTGCCAATCGACCAAAGATTCACTTTCTGATCATCTCCACCAGTAATAAAAAGCCGACAAGTCTTCTTCCCTATATTTACACAGTTGACACTTCCCGTATGTGCCACGAACTCCTCTACATTCATTTCTTGTCAAGAAAAATGCAGCAGCAGGATAAAATTTTACTAAGAGTCGATTTTTCGCCCCCACCCAACCATGCACAATTTAGCATTTGGCTCATTTCAGTTGAGATTCGCATATTCAAGAAGCATAAACAACTTAAAAAGTTAAAACATGATTCTACATAACAATTTCCAATCTTATACAGTCTTATGCCTGTTTTGTTATCCAATAACTTATGAAAAAAAAAAACAAATTGAAACTCAGAATTTGTCTCCCCACTAAAATCGTGCATAATTCAAACTATTTACTACTCAGAAAGGAAAAATAAAAACAAACTAAGTAACCAAGGTTTCGTATCACTTTCCTCCTGTTTTGTTCTCTTCATCCCGCAAACAAAACCGGGAAGAGAGAGAAAATTTTTCAAGATTCCCGACTGAATCCAGCTCAGATCACATATAAGTAACAGAAAACCCAATTCAAATCCGAGGAAAAGTAGTTCAAAGTTTGAATTTTCGAAATCCAAATCCAAATTAGCCGAGCAAATTGCATGCAGCATTAGATTCAAGAACTAGAGCTCAATTTAGCTAAGCATTTCGACAAAATTGACAAAAAAAAAGTACGAGATTCAAAAGGATACGCAATTTATATCCACGCTTCGCCATTTCCCCAGAAAACAATTCAACCCCAAAACTAAAACAAGATCGAACGAGTTGCTAAGAACCGTCCGTCTTCGCCGTCGTCTGTGTTTGAATGAGTTGAATTAAGGGAAAAGAAACCAAGGAGCTGGTGAGGCTCACGAAGAAGAGAGAAGTATAGATACAAGATACTGTATGTATAGGCTGAGGAGAGAACAAATCCACCCAGAAAATATAGGAATTGGATTCAGATGGGTAAGAAAATTCAGACAGAGAGAGAAATAGAGAGGTTCAACTCAACAGTGGACTTCAAGAAAAGAAAAGAAGTACTAAAAAAAAGCTCAGACTTTTGCTTTTTTGAGAGCCTCGTATATGATTTGGTCGGTGGGAGGGTATGTTCATGTGTGCGTGAGAGGCAGAGAGTTCCGTAGGTGATTTTTGCGTGTGTGTGTGAGAGAGAGAGAGAGAGGAGAGAGGGTCTAATCGTCTATTAATAAATAAATTTTACTAAAATTATAATCAGTTAATTATATAATATATAATCACTTTTGTGATATAAAATAAATTTTATTTTACATATTTTTTATTTTTTTATTAAATAATTATACCTAATATTTACTAGTACTAGAGATAAGAGAGGTGGTTTCGGACAACCAAGGCTTTAATGTACAAAATGTAAATTCAAACATTTTAGTTTAAAACTTAATAATTTTTTTAGATTATGATAAAATTTATTTTTCGTGAATTTTTTAATTTTTATATGAATAATTTTTGATCAAATTAAAAAAAATTAGTCAATCTGATTATAAATGGTCGGAATATTTCAATTGTAATAGCAAACAAAATACCAAAAAAAAAGTTGGTGCAGAGCTTGATTAAGACAGCTCAGCACTACTTAACTTGTTTTGGGACAAAATTAACCTTGGTTAGAATCTGCTGAGATTACACGATCAGTGGTGCAAAATTACCAGACCACCCTCTGATTATGTAATTTTCTGAAAATTAATTTTTCCTGTATCATTTTTTAATTTTTTTATTATTAAAATATCATAACTCAAATTAATTTGTCAAATTATAAACATGTTTTTAAAACACAACTTTACACTAAAAATGTATTTCACATGCACATTTTTGATACGAAAAATTGTATTTCTGAAACATTTTTATTACAATCGTGATTGAGAAACACACTTTCATAAAAATAACAATAATTTAGCAGATAACTTTAATATTATATTATTTTTGGTGAAAAAAATAAATGTATTATAAATTGATAAAAAATTCTAATTTCTGACCATTCAATATAAGAATCTTTTTTTATTATTATTATTTTCAAAGAACATCCTAGCCACTAGCAGCTGAGCAGCTCCACCGGTCAAGGTTTATTCTTTCCTATGTGCTTTTTTTTTTTTTTTTCCTTATTTTGGGGGGTCGAGCCATGCATTGTCTTTTTGATGAAATTAGTAAATATATTTTTTTTTTTGTTGGGCTGCAACTATCAAGAAGTTATGGTGGTAGCAGTAGCACCACTCACATTCCTCCTGTTGCACCATTGTCACTCTTCACAATAAATATTCAATGAAAGAGTTACCCCACAACATTTATGATTACGTGATGGTACTAATTAATAAAAAATAAATTAGTTAAATAAATAAATATTCTACTCTCACCTAATAGTTCTTAAATGTGAAAGTTATTAGTGGTTAGATGATTTAATGGGATCCACTCGTCTTATATATTTATATACATAATTTATCGGAGATATTACGTAACGGTGATAACATATTATCTCCCATTATATCCAAAAATTAATGTTATCGGGAAAAAATTTAAAAATATAATTTGAAAACATAATGCATTGTAGTTAGGAGTGTCAAAATACAACACGACAGGAAATTAGAGAGTTTGGATCTTCTTTAAATCACTTACTTCGTAAATGAATGGACCCGACACGACACGATTAATAAACAAATCGAGTATGAGTGAAATCGATTAAAAGAAATACACGACACAATTCGTTTATATTCCAGTTATAAACGGTTCTTATACGACACAATCCCAATATGACACGAATTAATGAATGAATCGGATATATGAATAGAATATTTTGTTTCACATGAATCTGCTAAAATTGGACACAAAACCCACCTCATCTGACATGATTAACAACCTAAATTTGTGGTCAATAGATTGAATTTAAATATCGGGATCCACCGATAAGTTAATGGTCACAATTATTATATTCACAAATAGAAATGCTATAAAAATTTAATTTACTAACCTAATTCATTAAGACATTTAAATTGACTGTGGGTTCTATCAAATATTGAAACTTAGTGTTAATCTAATGGTTTCAATGAAGCCACATCATTAAGTCAATAAATTATATTAAATTTTTAAGTCCGAATAGTATTACTCATCCCAAAATTATGTTCCAATAACATTACTCTATTCAATATTTTCTCCACTTTTGATTAATTTTATTGTGTTATAGTCGATCAGATAGCCTGTTAGAATCAGAAAACGTAGAGCTAAGACCCAATACCTTTTTTCGTTTCTTTTCTTTCAAAGATCAACGATGTTCGACTTAACTTCTGCGAATTTTTCCTAATCTCTTTCTTAGTTCGGTTAAAAGCAAGACATCCACGTCGGAATTAGGATATTCATGAGAAATAAATCCCTTATGATTTGACCCCAACAAATCACCAAAATTCAATATCAAAACGTTTGAATTTTAAAATTATTCTTATTACCACTTGACTCACTTGCCATTAAGACCCACTAGTTTCTTCTCAGCAAAACTCATCACTTATATCTCACTATAAACTCAAAGTTCACTTAAATGTTAAACACAAAAAATAAAAATTTCCTAATTAGTTTAGAATTCATACATTTACATATCTAATAATGATATGAAATGGAAAACCTCAAATATTTTCTCCATCTCTCACAAATTATCGTGTCACAATCGAATTACTATTAAGTTGTCATGATCAATCAACTCTAAATTACTCGTCTTTAATATAGAACAAAAAAAATTAATATTTTAAAGTAAAATTATAACTTTTTATAGTATAAGTTATAATATGAAAAAAAAATTAATTCTAAAATGTTACGATTGGTTGTAAAAATTATAATTTTAAAATATCAAATTACACAATTGATGAAAAACTATAATTAATATAAAGATTATAATTCGTAAATACAGCCGGTGAGGTGATGATGAGTCTGAATCGTTTCAAATGACAATCTGAATCTGAGGCAGAGAGAATATTTCAACAACAAAGACACGTTTGCTCCACGGACAAGTCATTCATGTGCTGTGGTTCTGTTCATGTCTCTCTGCCCTATTTTTTTTTTTTGGGCATCTGCACCATTCTTGTCCGACCAGAGATTCACCAGCGACTGAGCATTAGAGTGTTCAAATTTTTGACCGGCCGCAAGTTCCTATTCTATCCGTCTTATTTTACCTTATTAAACGTTAGTCGTAAAAATCGGATAAGAATATGAAAGAGTTTTTGATTTTCCAACAATTTTTGGGTAGAAATGCGAAATAGTCATCATTTCTGCACTCCTACTCTACCCTACCCGTAATAATTTTTTATATATATATATATAAACTAAAAAAATCATAAACCCTAACCACAGACAGAACAATTATGATTTTAATCTATTTCATATGGTTTAAAGTTTAAACTTAAATTAATTATTATTGTATTTGTATTTGTATTTGTGTAACAATGTTGGTGGATTGATGTTCATACTTTATTGTGTTGTATTATAATTCTTGTCGTAGTTGTTTTAGATTTTAGTGTTAATTGATTTATTGTGTTGTTAAATTAGTGCATGTTATTTTATTAAATTATTAAAATGATCCAAAAATTAATTGTTACAAAAATATTTACCAGATTTCCTACCCGATTAATCGGGTAGAAATATCACATCTATCGGGTAGGGTAGGACAAAAAAAAATTCTTTCATAAAGTATTGGGTAAAAAGACGAATGAGCATATTACCTACCCGTAGGGTAGGGTGAACACCCCTACTGAGCATCCTAACCACTAGCGACTGAGCAGCTCTAGTTAGGCCAGTCAATGGATTAGGTATGGCCCAGATTGTCCTATTCCTATGTCCAAATTCGAATTCAATTAAATATTTGTAGGTCCGATTTAATTATCCGACAAATTTGAAAATTCAATCCATGTATGAATACATTAATTTTCAGATAATTAATCTAAAAATTTGATCCAATCTGATTATCACAAAAACACTTGTACACCAAAAAATTAACAATAAAAATTTAGATAATAAACTAAAAAAATAAGAGAAAATGAAAAATTGAAGTGAAGGCAAGAGGAAAACCATACAAAAGAGTGAAACAAAATGAAAATGGAAAAAGTAGTCTTTCATTGTGATATTCACTCTATTTTTACTTGTTTTTCAGTATAAGTATAATATATATGTGATATTTATTTTTATAATATTTTTTTCAAATTGAATTATTATAGATACACATCCGAATTTGTTTAGACAACTCTAATCAAATTTGGAGTCGGATCAATTTAATGAATTGAAAATTTGATCCATATTCATTTAAACAAATTCAAATCCAAATTAAAATTGGATCCATTGAGAGACCTAATTCCTATGGTCAATGTTTATTCTTTTTTATGTGCTTCTTTTTCCCTTATTTTTGGGGTTTGGGCTAATATATTTCACAAATCTAAATATTTCTAAAAACATCTAAAATATAATAAAACCTTCTAAAAAATCTAAATAGTGATGACTTTTAGCTTTAAAGTTAATAGTCTCTCAAATTTCTTTCACTATTCAATTCCTATACTCTCACGACATTTTTCTAGGTCTTTATGTCCCTACCGCTCTTATTGTCGGCATAATTTGAAAGGAACAAGCCCCCATGGAAAGCTTCTCCACATGCCTTGTTCAGAAATTCTAATAGGATATTTTGATTGTCTTTATAATCTTGATCTTGACGTGTCTTCAGAAAAACATCCCTCAAATTCTCTTTATACGCTTGATCTTCAGGAAAACATCCCTCAAGCATCCTACTCTGTTTACCTTGGTCCTCACCTCCCCTATGTCTCCAATCACTACCACCACCACCGGTAGTCGCCTAAAACTAATTTCTTGACATTAATATTAGCAATTCATATTGAACTAACGCCATGAAACTTATGAAATTCAAGACATTCCAAAGCAACACTTACATTTTTGATTGCCAAATGTGTGAGGGACTTCTATCTAATATTACTCCTGGGTGCCAGATTGCAGTAAGGGACCCTCAATGTATTCAAGAACTCATTCCCATATAAAAAACCAGGTAAAGTATACTGTTCTTGACCATGCTTAACCATCAAATTCAATGACAATCCAAGCACCCTACTCTTCTCTACAAAACCAAGCCAAACATAACATCTTTTGCCTACTCTTTTTCATACCCAAATTCAAATACAATCTCCTTGGCTTTAGAACTAATAACCTTTACTCATATCACAATTGTGATTTTGATAGAACAAAACTCTTGGCAATGATCTATCTCTGGATAATGTAGAACACCTTGCTGCCATTTGTACGGGAAAAATAGAGAATATGTAAGATTAGATCATCGTTTAAATTCTCAACGCTAATTTTTTGACATTGATAGGAAATTCTCGACATTATTTGAAGAATGGAGAATCTTGGTGGGTTTAAGAGAATGAAGAAAGAGAGTGTGTGTTAAAGAACCAATGGAGAATCTTCTCTTAGTGTGAGAGTGTGTGATAAAGAATCTTGTTGGGTTTAAGAGCTGAGAAGGAAGAAAGAGAGAGTCCGTTGTTAATTTTACTAAAGGTTCCAAAAATATAATTTTTTTCTTATTTTGGTTCTTAATATTTTAATTGCATCATTTTGATTAATGAATATGTTTCTAAATAGACTCTAAAGCAGACAACATCCAAATTACTAACAAATTTTTATCATAAACTTGTTACGTGATACCTAAATATAAGTAAAAAATATGGGATGTCATTGACTCATGAAACAATTTATGGACCTATATAAATAGCATAGGTGTTCTAATTTTAAAAATAAATAGAGTTAAGTATGTGATCCTAAGTATGTGCTTTGTAATCCGTATTTATGGAATTTTTTCGTTTATTTAGGGTGTTCTATCTCCTTCTATTTTCTCTCTAAAACTCATTAGTGTGTGCTTTGTAATCTTTCTTTCTTTCTTTCTTGCTTTGTAATCCGTATTTATGGAATTTTTTCGTTTATTTAGGGTGTTCTATCTCCTTCTATTTTCTCTCTAAAACTCATTAGTGTGTGCTTTGTAATCTTTCTTTCTTTCTTTCTTTCTTTTTTAATGCTGCACAATAAGCATTAGGGACTAATAGAATATAATCTGCCATTTTCTCGTTGTGCACGATCACCCGGACTGGAGCAAAATGGTGGGACTTCTATTCTATATATGACCAACCCACAAATAGTGAATTAAAGATCAAAATATCATTATTATTGCTGCCATGTTCTAAACAAAGCAACTAAAGAGCCAAAGTACGAGGTTTAGCTCGGATGTTCTAAACAAACTCTTTTTATTTCAAATTATTTAGTTCTGATGATTTATATTATAATTTAATATTTATATTTTTTAACTACAGTAACTCATTTAAATCTTAATTTTTTTTAATTACAATAACTTTTTAAAATTTTAAACTTTTAATTTTAGTAACTTAAATTTTAATTTTTAAATACACAATAACTCATTTAACTTTTTACTAACAATTTCAAATGAATTTGAAAACTACCAAAAATATATATATAATATATATATATATATTTTTTATTGAATCATAAAGTGACATGTAGTATGCTTTAACCAAAAAATATAATTATTTTATTTTATTAATTTCACAACCAATTGCTGCCAGCGTCTCAACCCTTACAAGAAATGTTTTATCAATTCTATATTCAAACTCATACCAAATCAAGAGAAACTCGAATTTTTACTCAAATTAAAGGAGATTTAAGTTTTACTCAAATCTCCAATAATGAGATTTCAAAGATCCAATGATCATACTTTACCCACTTTTAACCCAAAAAATATAATTATTTTATTTTATTAATTTCACAACTAATTGCTACCGGTGTCTCAACCCTTACAAGAAATGTTTTATCAATTTTATATTCAAACTCATACCAAATCAAGAGAAACTCGAATTTTTACTCAAATTAAAGGAGATTTAAATTTTACTCAAATCACCAATAATGAGATTTCAAAGATCCAATGATCATATTTTACCCACTTTTAAATTTGAATTTTTTTTTATAAATTTGAGTTTGTCATCCTTAAAATTGAAATTTCTCCATTGGAACCTTTTATATCAACTCAAATTTTTTATTAAAATTTGAGTCAAAGATTGAAGATGCTCTAAGTCAAAACACCTGAGCTGGTAGTTTAGTGGTAAGTCGTATCCATTTAGTGTCGTGCTTGATCCCTAAAAAAAAATATTTATTACCTAGGTATATATGTTATATATTTGTATAATATATTGCTTGTTTGCCTCCAAACCCAAAGACAAAAATGATAAGCTCAGAACCGTTCACCCAAAAGAATTAAAAAATCAAACCCACTTAAAAAAAAAAAAAAAAAATCTAGGCCCATATTGTTAAAATTTGGGTATCAACTTAATTACATGAAGTTGCAACTCAAATAAATCACGTTGCAACTTAATAAAATTGAGTTAGGATTGATCCTCAAAACTTGGGCTAGACCCCAAATTGTTAAAATTTGGCATCGATCTAATTTTTTAACCAATTGAGTTGTCAATTGATCATGGTGTCTCATATATTCTCTGTTTTTTTTAGGTATGGTATGAAGTTTTAGATTTTTCTACAATATTTGTAGTCATATAGATAATACTGACATCAAATTTTACTAAGACTTTTGCCCAGATGTTACGAAACTTTTGGCACTGGCTAGAGGTCCATTGGACACTGAACGCGCCCTCACTCACCCTCGGGGTGTCCAATAGTCCACTGATCCACTTCATCTTCTTCCTCCAACAAACCCTAGGTTCCCCACTTTTGTTTTTGGTACCATCCTTCTCACCTCTATTTCTCACTCCACAATACACCTTTTGCTTTGTTTTCAAAGCCTACTAACTCACCTCACACCCTTTTGTGAAACTCCATACAAACCACGACCACCCTGAAAACTACCTCCAATCTTAATAGCAAGCACACAAAAACCACTTATAAATGAAAATTTAAACTAAAACTAAATAAAAGATCAAACTCGTTTCAAACTCATTAAAATTCGAAAACTTCAAAATGAAAATTCTTGCTCAAGCAATGATTTAAGCATTATAAATAGAGTCCTAGCACTCTAATTAGGCTATAAACTTACCCTTAATGCTCGAATTTCTTTCTACAAAAATTTTCTCTTCACACTGTCTCTCTCTCTAACTTATCTCTTCAGTTTCTCTCTCTACAAATGATGCCTATCTACTCCAGAACCTTGGCTGAAGACTCTGGCATCCTCTCAACACCTCTGGATGGTTGGAGAATGATGGGGAAATCCATGCTACTCCCATGTAGCAAATTGAGTCTTGCTGTCATGCAGTGACAATTTGGTAATTACCCAAAATTCCAAATTTTTAATTTTTTAATTAATTTTTTTTAAATTATGTACTATACATGCATGCTCAAGTTTCGCATTTATGCTGTCATTATACAATGCTTTAAGAGATGAAGGGGTGCAATAAGTAGAGATTGTCTAATCTTTCCTTACAAAGAATATTTTCCAAAGAGTTGATTTGATACAGACGAATGTATTATTTTTTCAACAAGCCAGTGTAAGGCTGAACAGTGTACATGTTATCCTACACCCTTGTTCCTGAGTGCTCTACAGTGGATCAAGGAAAAAGTTCAATATTTTAAGTGCTTTTCTCTGTCTGTCTGTGTGTGGGAGAGAGAGAGACTAAAACTTAACCATTATTTGTACATTATAATCATAATCAGATTTGAACGCACAATCTCAGGAATGTTACTCCGATACACCTGTACCACTCCGTTGTGTACACACAAAAATAAACCGGGCAGCATCGCCATGGTCATTGCAGGATATAAATTTCATATACTAAATTAAACACAAGCAATCTGTCTTTGCTTGATCATCTTCTCCAAATTATCCGAAACCACTGCAGTTAAATTAGGGTCTTCAAATCCAAGCTCTGCACCAAGTCTGCAGCAGAAATGCCAACAAGAAAGGCTTGTAACATCAAAAAGGCCACATAACAAGAGGAAAGACGGTTGGAAACAAAAAAAATAAAAAATAAATCTCGTGAATATCTACACAAACGCGAAGAGCAACATGGAAGAGAAGTCGCTGCTTCATTCAAATAATTTATATCACACTTCATCCCGAAACCTAGCCTGCAATAGCCCACCTTTTCTCTCTCCAACGCCAAGAGGAGCAGCAACTGATATCACTAGGCCATGGCAGAAAGACCGCTGGTCAAGTGATAGAGGTACACCTTCTTCCCAAAGACAAGCACTTTTTTATGGTAACTAAGAATCATTCTAATCACGCGTCTTTTGATTCATGACTGTCACCCAAACCCTGTATGCATGCAATTACCCACTAATGTGTATTGATTAAACACGGGTTTCATGTGGTCAAGAGGACTTGGCCTTAGAATGTGTGGGTGTGTGGGTTTATGCTTCGCGCCTTGTTCAACCACAAGTCTCAACTTGAAACACAAGCATAAACATCAAGATAGAGTAAGTTCCATTTGGCTTACTTTGGGTCCAGCACCAACTTTTGGACTTCTTTAATGGCTGAACTTGCAGCATATAATGACATCTTTCCAACCTGCATAACAAAACAAGAAAATTAAAGAAACTTCATTGACATCAATGGGCCCAAAAAGACAACCCAGGGAAAGAAGGGGAAAATGACTCTTTCAAATGTGTTATATCTGAGCTATGTTACATCGTCCAGTAGCTCACGAGTCAAGACAATATAGAACGTATTAGATTGTAGCTCTCTTCTTTCTCCTATATCCCATTATGTAAAAAGCACTCTATTTTTAGGAAAAAGAAGGATAAAGAAGTCACTGAATACTTGAAAGGAAAGTTTCCTTTGCCTGACCTCCAACATTTGAAGCTTTGCATGATGGTCATATGGAAGACCACGGATTTCTCCAGCCAACCTAACAGCCTCCCCCAGACTTTCCGGAGATAGAAAATCGAGGCCTAACTGAACTGTTGACTGCAAATTTAAAAAAGGAAACAGATAAACAAATTCAACTGAATTTCACACAAATAATCATTCAAAACACAAGTAGATATTTATACATTAGAATTCTACTTGCAGACTCTCTTTTTCCTCTTTCTTTAAATCTTTGAAAGAATAACCCCAGGGGGGTTGCCTATTTTTTTTTGTTTATTTGGTTGTTTTGTATTGTGTATCTGGTTATTTCATTGTTGGGGAATGGAAAAATTCCCCAAGATGCATAGTTCACAACCATCTCTCAAGCACTTCGAATGTACAAATTCCCACTTTTATATGACCAGATGCATAGTACACAACCACCAATCTAGGTAATGATGTGGCTATATATAAAGGTATAAACTAAATGATTATATACTTTGATGTAAGTGCATATAAATATTTATTAGTTATTCCCGGTGCTTAAAGGCACGGAGTAATAAAAAAAATAGTCAACAATAAATATATTTGTATTCACACCCAAAATCAAATTAAAAATAAAGAGAAGAAAGACATGAATTTAAGCAGCGGCCGTAATGGAAATGAACGGTGGTACTAGTGGTGGGTAACAATGACGGTGATAGTTGTGGTGGGTGGCGACAATTGTGGTAGTGGTGTGGTGATGGTGGTGGTGGGTTTTGGGTGACAATAATGGTAGTAGCAACTATGTGTAACGGTGGTGGTGGTGGTGGGGGACGGTGATGACGGTTGGCATTGGTGGTGGTGGAGCGATTACAGTGGTGGTAGTGATGGTGGGTTTTAGTGGTGGACAGTGACAATGGTGGTGGTGGACGATGACAGGTGCTTGTGAGTGACAGTATGATAGATGGTGGTGAATGATGATAGTGATGGTGGGTGTGGTGGGGGTGGGTGATAGTAGTGGTGGGCGACAATAGATGGTAATGGATGTTGACGGTGGACGACAGTAATAGTGGAATTATGCTGGTAGTGGTAATAAATATAAAAATAAGATGACGATGGTGGTGGGGACGGTGGTAGCAATCCATGGTGAGTGGTGATGGTTGTGGGGCTGGCGAGGGCGGTGGTGGTGGCGGCAGCAGTAGTGGTGGTGGTGGGCGACGACTAGTTTTTCTAGGCGACAGTGTAATGGGTAGTGACAAATGACGGTAATGGTGTTAGGTGTGGTAGAGGTGGGTGACAATGACTGACGGCAATGGTGGGTGACGATGGATGGTGGTGGACAACAATGGTGATAATAGATAATAACGGTGATAGTGAAATGATGGTAGTAGTGGTGATAAATATAAGAATGAGATGACAATGATAGTGAATGGTGGCGGTAGACGACGATGATAACAATCGGTGGTGGGGGGGGTGAGGGTGGCGGTGGCGGTGACGGTGCTGAGATGGTTGTAGTGGTGATGGTCGTGGGAATGATAATGGGGTGGTAAAGGTGGTGGTGATAGGGGTGATGTTGGTATAGTGGCGGTAGTGGTAGGGTGGTTGAGATGGTTGTAGTGGTGATGGTCGTGAGGGGGGGTGGGGGTGGGGATGGTGGGATAGTGGTGGTGATTGTACGATAGCGACAACGGTGGTATTGGTGGGGTGGTAGTGGTGATGGTGGTGGTAATGGAGATGATGGTGGTGGTAGGGTGGCGGTAGGGTGGCAACAGTAGCGGTGGTGGCGCAATGGAGGTGGTGGTAGTGGTGATGGTGGTGGTGGGGTGGCGGTGGTGGTTGTTGTGGTGATGACGGTAGGGTGGTGGTGATAATGGTGGTGGTGGGGAGGTTCCAAACACGACTTTTTACAAAAATATATATATATATATATGATAAGTTATAAGTTCTAAAAAACACATATAAATTATCATCCCAAATGCACCCTTAGAGACCTATTTTTCTTATTAAATTTGGAGTGTTAATATTAGCCGTCAAATTAACTTTAAAATAAAATTTAAAGAAATCACAACCGCGAAAAACAAAAGTAATTTTGTTTATTTTTTGAGATTTGAATTATATTGTACTTTATTATATAGATATTTCCTGCAATGACAGAGACATTTTCAGGAATCCCCAAAGGTGATTTAAGTTAAGAAGCCTCCCTTTCAAGCCTTTAGCAAGAAGGACTTCGAAACAAAGTTAATCCTTGATATCATCTCGGGACCCATAGTGTACTATATATAATATTGCATAGAGAGTTCTGGAGGCCCAATGTCCTGATGTATAAGAGGATACGCAAAAACAATACTAGTTGTAGAAGGATCCCAACTGTGGGTGGATAATGCAATTCATGAAAAAGTAATTGCTGGGCCTTGCAATGTATTCTAAGGGCTCGCAGCCAGCCTCTCACAGAATCATGTTTATCCACGGCTGTTTTTTTGAGAATGTATCATGGAATTGACAAAGCTAAATGCAAACAAGTTCCTAACTAAGCACAGAAAAAATAGAGAAGCAACACCAAGGAAACAATCTGTTACATGAATAAGCACGATCATGCATACATAAAGAACCAATTACCATCTCCCACACAAACATTCAATTAGGAAGGCAAGGATATGACACCGTCAGGTGCAAATTCCACAATGCTTCATATATATGGGCGCCTAAGTCTTAGCATGAATATTATTACATAATCTCCCTTTGAGATGTCTACTCAATGTCCCACAGGCAAGAGTCTAGGCATTTAACATCGAATTTTCTTTTTATTTCAGTTTAAATAATTAGGTTATTCAACCATAAGGGTTTCAGGATTGAAAAAAAACAAAACAAGGTTAGTTGTCAATCAGGACTCACCTGAAGATTCCTCACTTGGAAAGGACATCCAGCAGGGACAAATACAGCTTCCCCTAAATGTTGTTCAAATGACCACGGTTCTACTCCTGAAAAAGAATTGAAAATTCTCTTTTGATGAAGGAAAAAAATAGAAAATAGAAAAGCACACACACGTATTTGATCATAGGAAATGTTCAGCGAATTTCCATTATAGCCAATTCAAATAAGTGAAACAGGGTCAAAATAAGATTGTTTTTAAATCAGTAGTGCTTAGGCCTGTAAATGGGTAAAGATTTGATGGGTTACATACACAACTCTTCACTTTCTCCTTTCTCTTAGTGGATTAAGGAGCAGCTCCTCCATGCTGTGGCTGTGGGGGTGGGGGCTGTCGCCGCCCGATAGAGGCAGAAGTGGGGGCCACCAGAGCTATCTGTGTTGAATGTGTCGATTGAAAAGAGGAAGGGAGACAACTCAAATATGGCAGCACAGAATCCTTGCCAAAAAGGAGAAAGTGAATGCCATGTCAACATTCCTTTTATTTTTATGAGATCAAGTATTTTGCAAAAAATTTAGAACCAATACATTCTCCACTTATATTCCTTCATTTGCAAAGTCTGGCAGAAGTCATATCAAGCAGCCAGTTTTTTGCTTTCAGAAAACATTTTATAATTTAAAAGAAAACAGTTTTCCAGTTTCCCAAACAGAAACCAAGCAAACATAGCTTTAACCAGTTCATATGGTTTATGGGCATCCAAAAACAACATCCTCAGGGTACTTTCCACAGTTGAAAAAGTAAAGGGAAAGAAAAGAGAAGAAAGGAAACTGGTAAGAGCAGGGTGAACTATTACCACAGCTAACTGACATATAATCAACTTTGGAAAAAGAGAAGGGCAAAAAAAGCAGTGGTAAGACGCCATTAACAGGTCACCACAGCATGGATGAGAGGTCCTGCACATGTTACTTATGTAGAGAGGTCAGATTCACTTACCGAATTCTTCCTGCAATTTTCTTTTACGGTGCGTATCCAGAAAAATTACCCCATCGTACAGAGGATGTGGCATCTGAGATACAAGGTGGAGTCAGCAGTATAAATTGAGTACAAAACAATAATTTTAACTAAGACGAATCCAATATTAAAAAAAAAAGTAAATAAACTTACAGACTCTTTATCTATATTGTCAGTCCTCCCAAATTCCTTCCAATGAACTCTCAAGTACTCAATCAGCTTTGGAACATCCTGCCTACGGAAGATATCCCAAAGAGCTCCTGGATCAGTCTTTTCAGAGATATCTCCACTAGCTTCATTCAAGTCTTTGCAGTTAGCGGTTTTCTCCTCAATAGTAGGAGTTCCAATACCTTGATCTTCCATTCTTTCATCCTTAGTAGAATCTGAATTAGACTCATATGCATTCTCTCTATCATGCCCATCGGGTGATAATTTAGGCAACCTTCCCTCATTTGAAGCGCTTTGTGGATCTCTTGGTAATTTTGTTGCCTCAGTTTCCTCAAAGACTTTTTGTATCTTCCCAATCTTCGTCCTCTGCCAGCCTTTCAGTTTCACTTCGCACATATGCACCAAAAGGTAAACCTAAACATCATGGAAAATGGGATTAAAATATTCGGCTTTGAAATAGAAGCACAAAACAAGGAAAAATTTTAAAAAAATCCCTCTTAGGAACAATAACAATTATAAGCAGTAAACCAACACATTTTAATACCTCAGTAACCTAATGAGAACATGTTAGGATCAGTAAATTAACATTTGCAGAAAAGATATACATGGCTATGGAAGTCAGTTTCTTACATTGTGTTTTGTAGAAAAATTTGAAACTTTCTATTTAACATAATGCACAAAATATAAGCCAAACAACTCAACTTTTAAGCATAGAAATATGCTCTCTCCAAATGATATATTCAATGGCCCACAAGCCAAAGATAGAAAAAGAGTTAAGCAGAATACATTGTCACTTCTTTAATTAAGTAATTCACTTTCAAATTCTTAACATAGAAAATAGACAAAGGTAAAAAAAACACAGATTGCAAGAAGAAACATAGAAATAAGGGAAGACTGTTCCTAAAGGATTTGTTTTTTCAAAAATTGGGATAAAGGCTTTGTTGAATTGAGTTATTAAAGGATTACTGAAATGCTAACAGAGGGACAAAAGCTTCGCACCATGTCACGCATATTGAAACGGAGATTATCCACCGAATCACCTCGACCTAGCTCTTTGTACGTCCCATAAGAGATAAAAATCTTAGGACCTACATCATTCTGCAAAGAGTAATGAGGCAGTTTTGCGGCAACATTAAGCAGACCCCACTTGGAATGAATATACTCGAGCAAAGGCAATTTACTGATAAACTCAGGTCTTTTATATAATAGAAACTCCTCGGAAGCGCTGGGAGAAGGCCAATCCTTCAACTTTAACATTTCTGGCCAACCATCTTCATGGACCCGACCCTCTGAGTATCCTTTGATGAACTGGCCAAGTTCAATATCAACCTTCCATCACATGAAGCAACAGGAGACATATATTAGCACATGTGATAGACTAAAACGATAGATTAGTAGCCCAATCCCTTTAAAAAGAACCTCATCAGATGAGGATGCGAGAAAGTATATGAACAATATGTCAAAATAATGGCAAGAGCAGGTTAGCCATCTAATTTATGAATGGGAGTTTGAATTTGAAACCTACCTCAGACCAGTCTAAGCAATCTATAGCCTTCACAGTTCTGTTATCATCTTTCATTTTCTCTTCTGTTGTCTCTCGAATTCCTCTCCATATAACCATGGGATCCCAGCTTGACAATGACGAGATATCACAAATCTCCTTCACCACAACAGGTTCACCCTGGTTCCAGTGCTTTCTGAAGTCTCCAATCCCTTCAATTTTAATATCTTGAGAGGATGGATGGTACAAGAAATTATCATTGCTATTATCTCTATGTGCAGATTGGGAAAGCCTGTGGCTAAACATTCTATGCGGACTGTCAGTATCAGACACCTTACAGCCACTAACCATTTCTTCAACATTTTTCACCAATTTTGCAACCCAATTCATCTTGAAGATCCGTTTTAGGGTTAGCAATGACCAACCACAGCCTCCACGGGGGCATGGTACACTACCATCATTGTTGGCTTTCCAACCAGAAAACTTCTCTGTTAAATTTAGCTGAAATTTGGATTGTTTTACTTTCTCTAATACGGTTTCTTTGTCATCATTTCTCCCATCAATATGATTTCTCATATCTCCTTTAGCACCAAGAATAGATGCTTCCCTAAGATCTTGGCAGCAGCTAAGGCACAGATCATATGAGCAATTCATGCAGTGCCGATGATAATCAATGATTGATATCCGACAGAAATCACTGCAAGAAAACAGAATTTGAAATAAATCTCATATGTGCATACAACATTTCTACACCCTCCAATCACTTTGTCCTATCAAGAAGACAGAAATACCAAAGACAAAATTCTATAATACACAAATTTCCTTTAGGTTTTACCATCAAGAAAAAGGACATATCAAATTTTATGATCAGAATATTATGACAAACCAAAGCTCAAAAACAAGACCGTGTACAGGTAGTTCCCGAAAGAAGAGGAGTTTTAAATTACTACATCTGGGAGTCAAATGAAAACCCGGTAAGTGTTCTTGATAGTACCAGCACATTTGCTCATCAGCATTCAATTTTGTCCTGGAAAGATCTATTCCGTTTCCTGGAGAAAATGTAAAAGGCAGTTACCATCACAGTAAAATTCATCTGCGGAAACTCGACCTCACCTCAGCTCAACAACCACAAATAGTTGTGGATATTCTACCTCCAACATGCAATGAACACATCAACAGCATCTTACCTCGAAGCCTTTTCTCAAGTTCCACCTCGAAGCACTGGTCGCGATGGATCTGCTTAACTACAGGAAGCACTGAAGATAAGAGGCAATAAAAATACTGCAGCTTGTCTTGGGCAGGTATCTCACGTATTCTTCCCTGTCACTCAGAACAATTGTGATCAACCTCTGAACAAAGGCACAAATTCATTGATTTAAACTGAAAACGTATCTTTCAAAGTTTTAAAGAAATTTGTTACTGCATACCTTTACCAACTTATCTCCCCGTAAGCACACCTTGCAATTACAACTACCACGACATGCAGGACAAAGCCTTTGGATCTCTTCTACTCCCATTTCAGAATACCTAATAAAGGAAGCATTATTTATTTATTTTTTTTTATCAATGCATAGATTTCATTAAAGTGGGCAAGGAGTCCACCCCATGCAAAGATAACAAATATCAAAAAAAAAATACATCCAGAAACATTAATCTAAGTACAAGCCGCTATCCAATCTAGATTGAAATAAAGGAAGCGTTATTATTCATCAAGCTGATAGTGTAGACGGATATATTTTTCGCTGAATTACTAATCTCACCAAGTAGAGATGCAGCTATCGCAGTATCCTCTCCTATCACATTTATGGCACCAAATTACCCTGTCTCTGTCATTCCGCTGGCAATGATGGCAAGTTTGCCCACCATTATTGTCAGAAGAATCTGAACTTCCACCTGAAGTTTCCTGGAAAGAGAAGCGCTCATGAGGAAGGCACAAAATACAAAATATTACTAACAGGTGCTGAAAGGGCATGCATTTACTGGTAAATCTATCTAGAGATATTGCAACCTCACCCACCGTCATGGGACTAGTGTCAAAGAACTTCTGCGATCTTCTCTTCCATGAATCCACAGCGGACGGAGGTGGCGTCTTGTAAGACCTCCGATTCTCTTCATTCTGTGAAACATATCATTGTAGATCATCATTTGACTTCAAAGGATTGCAAACAGATAAACTCCTCATCGAAGGTGGTTCAGGTGAATAACTGACCTGGTTCTTTGGGACCTTTTCCTTCGACTTATTCCCTGAGACTGAAACAGGATAATCCCCAATTTTTTCATTAACATGTGGTAAATCCATATCATCACTCTTACTCTCCAAGTAAATATCACTTTCACCTAAAGATTTTCTTTTGGCTTTCTTTAGACTGGCTCTCAGTGCGGAATTGGCAGCCCTCTTTTTTGCTTGGATGTAGTGCTTTTCACATACTGTTTTATCAGGCATAGACTTGGCAGTGCATCTCCATTGTTTCCCATCTGACCTCTTACAACGCAAATCATCAGGAATTCCAATAGTATCCTCACCCATTCCAGAGGTCGATCGTGAATGATCCATGATAGAAATGGATCAATGGAGTCAATGGAAATACATCATGCGGAGCTACATGCTAAGGTCAACCTGCAAATATCCACCTAATAACATCACACAAGGCCCGACAATTGAGATGATAGCGCATGAGAAATCATAGATCAAATACCCTACAAACAATAAACCAATTTCACAGGAACACACACGTACACACACAAGGCCAAAGTGCTTGGCAGTTGAGGAGAAAACGAAAAGCAAGCCAAACATTCAGTTAAAGAGTACACCTGTGGTTTCCCTTATTATCAGATTTCTTGTGCCAAGTGAATTGAATGGAAGTGTTTAGGTCCATACTCCTCAAGAGAAGGTTGAACACAACACACAGCATACAACATTGAGTTTCCCAAGTTCGATATTTCTGGTTTGTGAACAATATGTAGGCATTAAATCAGTAATTCACACTTTGAAAGCTTAATCAAGCGCCCTTTAATCAATTTTATAGGAACCTAAGACTAAATTATATTTATTCAAATATCAGAGCAACAATGCCTTCGAAGTTTGAAGATACCCCCAAGAATCAAATACCAAGCTTATCAAGAATTGAATTCCTCCACCTGTAAAATAAGAAATTAATAAAAAAAATATCAAATATCATCAAAGAAATAACAAATATAATCAACTCTACACGGACAAAACAAAGTCCTACCTCAATTGAAAACTAGGGTTTTGTGGAAATAGTATTGAAGACTATCACAGGATAGACCTTTACATATATGTACACACACGTGTATATGTGTGCAGAGGGTTTTGTGGAAATAGTATTGAAGACTATCAAAGGAGAGACCTTTACACATAAGTACACAGAAAAGTGTATGTGTATGCAGATAGAGTGATAAAGAGAGAGATAAAGTTGCGAAGACAAGGAAAAAGAACCACAAAACATCAGTTTATAACGAACATAGAGTGATATATATATATATATATATATGAAGATGTTTAGTGAGAGAAAACCTGTAGAATTTTGAGGTGAAAATTTGAGATCCGAGATTTAAGTTGATGGCTATGGCGGTTCGGAGATCGGAGCTTCAATGGTAGTCGGATTTAGGAGACCTTTTGTCTGCAAGGGATGACACAGATGGAGGAGAGAGAACGGCAACGAACAACTAAAAGAAAACGATGCCGTTTCACAATAGTCTCTTTTTTCGTTTTTGATATACCCACTTGGTTAGGCCCGGAAACGGGTCTGCCTAGGTCTTCTTGCAGGCCAGGCCGGGGATGTGGGCCTTGCCATTGAGTTAAGGCCAGTAGAAATTTGGAGGTCAGTCAACCTCTTTTCGTTGATTTATTTAAACTTATTGTTATTTTTTATATTTAAATGCTACTATTTTTTTGTGTTTGAATATATATATTTATATAATAAAGTAGAGTTGAGTTTGAATTTAAAAACAAAGAGAGGTCCAGATCGTTTTGAGACAAAATATAAACATATCCAACGAATAACGTAATTCCAATAAAAAACACAGTTCAGATCATCTCATAAATATTGATCTGACGGTCATAATTGAACTTAACTCTACTACTCTTATATCTCATATAATTATCTCTCTCTCTTTTATCTATTAGACGTTTTAAATACACTATCTCATCTCATCTCTCTCTTTATATATATATATATATATAAAGTAGCTAGATTATTTGTCTTTAACTTTTAGCGGCTCAGATTGTTTTGATCTGATGATCCTAATTAGACTTTCATTCTTTTTACAACTTTAAATTTCTTATATAATTCTATTTATCTATCTTACACACTCTCTCTCTCTTATACTATTATTATTATTATTTTCTCTTGTGTTGTTTTTGCTATTAGTTACTCCATAAAACATATGAAACTAAATGTTATTCAATTATTTATTCCTTGAAACTAATTCAAAATTTTTATATATCTGACCGTATGTATTTTGTCACTTGCTTCTTAATTTGTAAATAACATTGAATGTAAATAAAAAATAGCACATTCACTATAAATACCAAATAATATTTAACATAAAATGAACCTTAGATTGTAAATTAATATATATTTTTATCAAAAATTAACACTTAATTTTCTCTAATTTATATTCAACTTTATCGAATATCAAATTAATATTAAAATTTATTTAATCAATTTTTTGGAGTACTAAATTTTATCAATATTTTGAGTACTAAATCAAATTTTATTTTATTTTATTAAATTTTTAATTTTTTTGGTACTAAATTTGGAGAAGGATAAATGTAAAAATAAGAAAGTTTTCTAGGATAAAATTATCAATTTTCATTTGCAACATTGACAAAAGGAAGACAGAGGGGGTCTTCGTGCAATGAATAACAAACCTCAGGGGGTCTTCATATTATTTATAAAATATCATGAGGTGTTCGTGTAATATTTCCAAAACTTAGGGAATATCCATAATTTTTAATTTTTTTCCCTATTTTTTAATTAAACATTAATATATTATTATTTTACCTTAAAAACTTAAATTATTGTATTTCTAATAAAAACAATTATTGGTTATAAAGGTTTGTTGGTAACCAAAAAAGAAATGTGTGAGTGTGTTTTTGTGTATATTTACATGTGGAGGATTGAACATTTAGTGATTAAATTTATAATTATATTGTGTTATTTGGGATTGAGAGGTGACAGTGATGATAAATTCATGAGTTTATAAATGAGCAAAATTTGGTTGATTTTATTTACCGTTTAAAGATTGTGAATTTAATTGTATTCTGTTAATACATATATATTTTTTTGTTTGAGGTATTTATTACATAGAGATAAGGTGGATTGAAAATATGGTAGTTGAGTTGATAATTATGTTGTGTTATTGGATGAAATGGTAGTAGAGGTGATAATTCGTGAGTCTTATAAATGAACAAGATTTTATTTATTTAATTTATTTCTTAAAGATTATAAATTTTAATGGATTATGTTAGTATTTTTTTTTCATAGGCATTTATATATATGGTGTCATTTTAGAGAGTTTTTATATATTTTTATAACAGTTCCATTAATATGGAAGATATAATTGACAATATATTTTGAGTCATTTTAAAAGAAGAATTTGTATGAATATTTTTAGATCATTTCTTTTGAATTTGGACAATTGTTTAAAAAAAATTTGTTTGATGTATAGTGTCTTCAGACACGGGTAATGACTAGTATATATATATATATATATATATATATATAAAAAAAATAAAGTAGAACTGAATTTGAATCCAAAGACAAAGAGGTCTAGATCATTTTAAAACAAAACATAAACACATCCACCAGACAACAGACAATGTAATTCCACCATAAAAGACGGTTCAAATCGTCTCATAAATACTGATCTGACGATTGTAATTGGACTTAACTCTAACACTCATATCTCTCATATAACTCTCTCTTGCTCTCTCTTATCTCTTAGAAGTTTTAAATACACTATCTCATCTCCTCTCTCTCTCTCTTTATATATATATATATATATATATATATATATATATATAAAGTAGATAAATTTCTTTATCTTTAGTTTTTTGTGGCTCAGATCTCTTGACGATTATTAATCTGACGGTCCTCATGTCAAAAATTTTAAGACTTTTATTTCTTACTAGTAATTGCACACGTGCGTTGCACATGAATCATTCTAAATTATAATTTTCTTAATTTTTTTTAATAAATATAGTAACAAATATATGTTTACCAATCAAATGTAGAGAATAAAAATAATAAATTAAATTCTCTTACCTAGGTAGGATATGTTTATTTTGCTATTTATTTAGTGGTCAGCAGCTCGGCGTACATTATGATTTCACGAATAACAATTGACTATTATCAACGATGGAAGTAAATAAAGTAATTCATAGCAATTGTCAACACCAACTTAAGCTAAAAGCAAAGAGACTTGGAAAGTTATACCTAATGCACTAGTGTGAGTTGAGAAGTCTCATAAAAAAAATAAAGGTAATATACCCACACACAACCAATTCCTTTTTCAATCTTGGCTAGAATAAAGTCTTTAATTTTTTTTTTAACTGATAAAATGAATTTTTCCAATAAGGTATGTTAACAGTATACCTCTATGCCCAGCTTTAGCCTGAGTAATAAGTTATTAAACATGTCGCAATTTTGGTTGTAACATCCCATGTCATGGGAAAACTTGTTTGGATGAAATTGATAACTATCGGCTTATAATTGTGAAAAGTTGGGGGAAGAAACTAAAAAAATTTCGTAAAAATTCCGGGGCTTTCTAGCAAGTTATCGATTGTGCTTCTGATAAATTATATTGATCGTTCACGAAGACAACAGAAAAAGCAATGCATGAGGCGGCAATCATAAGGATTACTATCTGACACCATGCATCCTTGGGGAATATAAAAAATAAATAGGAACCAAAGTTGAGGGGAAACCCCTGAATTGCAAATGTTTGTAGGAAGAGGCCACAATGGCTTTTCCTGGAGGTGAAAATGGAAGCCACTAAACTTGAGAATCGAA